CTATACAGGTGTATTTTTTCAGCTCTCTCTCTTTGGCTTAGAATGACTTCAGTAATCCATTTTCATGCTTCTATAATTGGTTTGATATTTTCCATCTGCTCTCCTCTCTTGTTTGGCTTTTCGAAGAGTGCCTTTATGTGTTTTTTATACCCTTGCTATCATTTTAGTGGGTTTATAGTTACAGTGTATGTTAAATCGAAAAAAAAAACATATTTCATAGTTTTAAAGAACTTGTTTCGAACAAAATTAGTTAATGGATGCTGTTAGAAATGTAATGACAAGCAAATAAACACAAATGCAGGTAAGCATTTTACTTAAACACAATGGATCTATGACAGGTCACATACACATAAAACAAATAATGATATAGTGTACTAAAATAGTTTTATTAATAAAATTAAGATAACATCTATAATATATGTATTAAAATTTTCATCTAAATAAAAGTGCTTCACCATATTAAGTGAACAGGCATAATTCAGAAGAAACCACAAAGAAATTCAATAAATTGCAAAAAATAAAACTATGTCAATCTCATCCTCAAATTAACACAAAACAAAGCTAGAAATGCATAATGGAAGTTTTTGAAGTATCAGCAAGGAACTATGTATAATAAGTACCTTATTCCTTAAAAAAAAAAAAAAAAAAGTGGTCAATAAATGAAATTGCTAACCTGTTAGGAAAAAGTCAGAACAGAATACTATAATGGATGTTCTCAAAGCTCTACTTACAGAGACTTGCATTGCCTTAAATGCCTTCACTTATTTAACTAGTAAGAATAAAAACTTAAAAAGATATAGTATTGTAAGATTGAAAAATAACAGACAAAAATAGCAACACAGGTGGTAGTACTTTAAAAATAGAAGAGAACATTATTTATGATTTTATACCTTTCAACTTAAAAAATATAAATAAAATTAACAAGAAAGAGTACAGTTACATTGTACCCTGGGAATAGAGGTCACATATTAAAAATGAGCTTCAGTTTTATGCATTATTATTTTAAAATAATACTGACAAGCTGCAGCATATCTAGAAAGCTGCACCCAAGAATGTGGAGTGTCTAAAATTTAGGTCACATGAGTAATGGAAAAGAGAAGGTTCAAGTTGTCATTCTAACTGTCTTATGTATCTGTGAAGCAGGATCAGACTTTATGTGTGATGTAAGAGATGGAATGTATGAAAATCACAGAGAGGCAAATTCCAGCTAAAATGAGGGAAAATAATAATGAGAGCTGAGTACAACAGGAATGGACATTTTATGAAGCCATTGATACCTAGTCAACCGAAGGTTAATTTCCATTAGAGATCCTGATGAAGGAATGTCTGCACAGGTAGGAGGTGGGACTAGATGACAACCTAAGTTCTCCCATACCTACTATTATGCAGTCTGGAATTAAACCTGAGACTATGTATCTCCCTCTTCTTAATAAATTCAGTGTGGAAGACCATGCAGATATTTTCTTAAGCCTAAGGTTGGATTTTATGGTTGATCATTCTTTTCCATTCCTTTGTGTAACACACCTTCTATGTTACATAAGGAGTAGTTTCTAAGAGTGGTCAAAAAGGCATCCAGAAACGCTCTTTCTGGAGAATCAAAAAGAAAAGGTCCTTGCAGAAATAGGAAATGCTTCAGTTAATGCAATAATGGTGTTGCACTTTGTGTGGCTTCACATTTTATACATGTTTTCTTTTATCTTATTTATTTCATTCAAATAAAAACCCTATGAAGTAGGAAACAAAAATTATGTTAATCACATTTCTATATAATACAATTTAGGTTTACAAAAAAAAAAAAGTAGCTGTATCAACATCATCACCTAGCCAGTGTCTAATTAAATCTTCTAGTTACAGATACAAGGACTTTTTTTCCACCAACATGTCATACTGTTAGATGTAAGCCACCTTCAGGTTTGGGAACCTCATTTTAGGCTGGGCATAATCTTAAGAAAAGAGCATAATCAATGGAGATTGATGGAAAACAAGCCAAAGGACAAAAGATGATGGTTTTTAAGACTCTTTTGAGAACTATCCTTCTAGAGAAATAGGAGGAGGATGAGGAAAGTGATGATTCATTACCAGATACTGTGATTCTTTGCAACAACCCAGAGAAGAACATATTATTATCCCCACTTTACATTCAAAAACATTAAGGCCTCACAATGTCAAACAACTCATCTAAGACCACACAGTTATACAGATAAATAGAGTAGATACTTATAGGATTTAAAAAAAAAAGATCCACCTTTTATTGTCACAGACATGTGTGTACACTTTTTAAATATTCTAACTATAAACTCTTAGAAAAAAAACCAGTCTTGCCAATCATTTTCCTGATAGCCATCTGGACATCTTTATTCCTAAGGCTGTATACCATGGGGCTCAACAATGGGGTGATGATGGTATAGGTCACTGTCACCAGCCTGTCTTTGCCTGATGTGTGTTTGGATGAGGGCCACAGGTAGACAGAGGAAGCACAGCCATAGTGAACAATAACCATGGTGAGATGGGAGGCACAGGTGGAGAAGGCTTTTCGCTTGCCTTCAGCTTAGGGGATCCTCAGGATGGTGCGAACGATGAAGCCATAGGAGATACAGATGAAGATCAAGGGCACAAGAAGCACAAGGGCTCCACCAATGAAGATGACCAGTTCATTAATGTGGGCATCAGCACAGGCAAGGCGAATGACAGGGGAAATATCACAAAAGTAGTGATCAACCTTATTGAGGCCACAGAAAGGGAGGCTAAACACCACAGTTGTCCCTACCAGAGATGTCAGGAAGCCACCAATAATAGAAGTTACTGCCAGTTGTCCACATACCTTCCAACTCATAAGCATGGGATAGTGCAAAGGCTGGCAGATGGCAGCCTAGTGATCATAACCCATCACGCTCAGAAGAAGGCAATTGGTGATAGCAAAACCAAGGAAGAAGAACATCTGAGTGGCACAACTCATAAAGGAGAGTGTCCTGAGTACATTCAGCAAGTTGATGAGCATCTTGGGCAGGATAACAATTGTGTATAAGGTCTCAGAGACAGAAAGGACACACAGAAAGAAGTACATAAGTGTGCACAGGTCGCAATCCAGGCCGATGACTGAGATGATATTTCCACTCAGGATGAACAAATAGAGGGGGAGAAAAACCACAAAGAGAACAAGCTGCAGTTCCCCAAGACTAGAGAAACCCATCAATAGGAACTCAGTGACAAAGGAGGAATTGGCCATGGAGAGTTGATCCCATGGAGTAAAGTCAGTATGATCAGGTGCAAAGACCTTTGGAACTGAAGAACCAGGAAGAATTACCCCTCCTAAAGTAGGGAGTGCCAGTCTAGTTTGAATTAGAAACAATAAGCATGGGAGAGAGAAAAAAAAAAAAAAAGGACAGTAAGTTAACAGGAAATTGTTCTAAATTGATATGCTATTTTTCTATAAATGATTTTAGCAATGAATAAGGCTATGAGTGTTCACCTGAACTGTACAGACATTTGCCCATATAAATCCCATCTTTCATGTCCCCTCCTTGCAGACTTGTGTAGTCTCTGCTCAATATTTTGGTAGTCTAATTACTGAAGAAACTTTCATCTGCATTATGATTTCAAGTGGTTATTCTTTCATCCAAATTACTGATAAAAGATTATAGTCTATGAGCAATAGTAGCCACGTCTGAGGACCCCCTCCCACCTTCTTCTAATACATCCTGTATCTGGATCTACATCAGTTTATCTGTCTTTGTTTCACTTGCCCATAAACAATAGGGTTTCCTTCCATGAGTGAAAATATAACCCATTTCCATACAGTCATTCATAACATTACTTTGGTTGGGAACTGCAGTTACTTCCTTAGAATTAGCTTCATGACCCTTATACAAACTCTTATAAGATACTACGCCTTGTTTCTCCTTAAAGAAAACACATGGCTGGAATAATTTAGTTTTGCTTCAGCATTCACTGGTTGCCCATTTTAACATATGTCCTATGCATAATATACCTGACTTGGATACTGAACAAACTGTTGTTCCTAAGATCTGTCTCTGTATTCCTAAGTAGCTACTTGCCTAGACAAAGGTTTAACAAAATTTCTAAATGGGACTAGAATCAAGAGATTTACTTCTTTCAAAATCTTTTTAATTGTTTCTGTATAAATAAGGAATGCACAGCATGCTGTTTGACTAGAACAAAATCCCCACTAGCATCCTTCCTGAGACACCATCTCTTTACCTTCCCATTTCCTGGTCTCCTCTCTTTGATAGCTTCTCTCTTACAGGATCATCCCCAGAGTGAAAAGGTAACTTAGTATCCAAAAATGTTAGAGTTCCTGGAAGGAGAGAAAGGTCATGTTACTCAGCGGCTACCTCATGACCCTCATCAGTTGCCTGCCTTTTCAAACTCATCCTTGGAACCTCTGTGGGAACTAAAACTTGAAAATAAAATACCCACGGAAAACTAACTCTACTCAACCCAGCCTTGGATGCTGGATAAAATATTCAAAAATAAGAGAGAATGTCAAGAGCTAGGTTGTGAAGCTATTGCAGATTTACAGAAAAGCTTGGGAAAATGAGAAAGAGGAAAAAGAAAACAAAAGATAAAGAAGATAATTGAATTTTCTGTCTAGCAAGTGGAAAGGATGAATTAATTATTCTTTATACCTCTCTATGACTCTTCAGCACCTACAGGGCAAAATCAATTCTTAAGATAGTTAATAAGGCACCTGATGCTTTGTCCCCACCTACATCCACAACCTCATCCTCCAACTCTCTTACCATCAATACATCATCACACAGAAATACTTACAGTTCCTTCTATATGTCTTTGTGTTTCAAAATAAAAAGGAAAGAGAAACAGCAATCTTAGACTCCAATATCCTTTCACCTTCTGTGGCCAACTCATTCTTCACAATTTTAAAGTCAAAGATTGTTGAACTTTCTCTAATCTGTCTAGAGAGAGTTTTCTGTTCTCAGTGTTCCTAAAGCTTGTTTCATGTGCATTAATCAAAATACTCTACATGTTATATCCAAATTATTTTTCCTGTCTTCCCCATAGACTTGCAAACCTCAAGGATAAAGACTATACTTTATTCCACTGTTATCTTCAGAACATAACTCAATACTTAAATAAATGAGATACAAGTGCTTGAAGAATAAATAAATGAAATAATCCATTAATTAATTTATAATGATTCCTATTAGTTCGTTTTATAGAAGCCTGGTTTTCCTGTTCACCACCATGTGTCTCCTAAGTCAAAACTCTTTCTGTGTTCCCCATACATTCTATGTACTCTGTATAGTTTTGTTCCCTTCTAAAATTAATACCATGTCCTTCCTGTGAAAAATCAAAACTTACCCTGTGGCCCTCCCTTCTTCTTGGCCCTTGTATTTTCATCCATTTAGCTGTCCTTTCAGTCATTTGATTATATTGTCTATTTTTCACTAAATACTTATTGCATATTATTTTCCCATCACTAAGTCATGGGAAAACCCAACAATTTTTAAATATAACATACAAATAAAATACTGGACTAGAATGCCTTTTCTCAATAAGCAAATCAAGGTCCTCATGTAAAAATGAAAGTTTTCCATTCCTTCAGATCAAAGTTCTGGTGCCCAATGGTATATAGGTATCTTGACTCTCAGACACTTCTGTGAAAGTTTTCAGGTGAGATTTGCCAAAATTATCTCCCTTGACATGCTTTTCCTAGATCTATCTTCCATCTTCCAGGAACTCTCTGGACCAAGATAAGAAAATCCTCCACATTACTCCGCAGAACAATATCACCTGTGCATTTTCTCCATGGACAGTTTAACAATTGCCTCAAGAGCATCACCCATGATCTTTCCTTTTTACATTAGCTATAGCCTTAATGCCTTGGTTGGTAATTAAGATATTCACCTCCATAGGAAGACAATTACCACATTGTGCCCAACACTTGTCCATTATTTTCCCAATTAACAAGTAGAACTATAGTTGTATACTATGGGAATAAGTTGGCCAAAAAGAAGGCCCTTTCT